GCGATCGAGTGGGGTAGCCTTGACCCATCGTTCATACGCGTCGCGGCTCACCTGAAGGACTGCGTTCCACCAATCATGCGAGGAATCGGACAAATCACCCATCAACCCTGCAAGTAACTCCAACCAATCCTGAAAATCCAACGAACCACTCATCGGATCAGGAGCTTTCAGCATGGGAAGTGCAGTAGTGCCTGGCTTGACGGCTTCAGGGGCGTTGCTAACAACACTCTTATCCCGCATGCCCTGCGCCTGCATGGTTTGAAGCTGCTGCATTCCTGCAAACAAGGCATCCATCATAGGATTGCCCGAGGAGGGTGCTGCACTTGCTGCAGATGCTCCTCCTGGAGCTACTGGCTTGGGCACCTGATACCTGTGCAAGCGGCACCTGTGTACCTGCGCCTGAAACCTGTGGCACCTGTGCATCGGCAGCGGGTCCAACCCCTCCGGGTGGAGATGCGGGCACCTGTGTACCTTGCACCTGTGGCACCTGTGGATCTGGCCCAGACCCAGCTTTTCGGCCTGAGCCAGAAGAGGCCAAGTTCGCCTGTGCTGCATCATTGGACTGCCCAACCCCTCCGGGTGGGGTTGCACTGCTGGGCAACCTATGGGAACCCTGCAACCCTGACCAGAAGTTGGACCAAAACCCTGACGCGGCTGCTGCTGCAGCTTGAGCGGGTGCTCTCAAAGCACCAACCGCCGGCGCTGCAACATCCTGCGCCTGATGCGCACATGAAGTGTGGACCTGAGCATCTTGCGGCGATGGCACCTGGAGGGGTATGGGGACCTGCATTTGTGATCAGGAGAGAGGAGATGGAGTGGAATGGTTGGGAAGGGGAAGGCTAAGTCAAAAAAGGTGGGGTGGGGGGGGTGGGGGGCGGAGCAAGCGGAGCGGGCGGGCATGCACTGAGTCAGTCATCTGATCCAGTCTAGAGAGGGGAGGAGGATGGAGTGGAATGGTTGGGAAGGGGAAGGGTAGTGGGAGGGTTTGGTGGTGGGAGTGGGGGTGTAGTGGGAGGGGATGGAGTGGAATGGTTGGGGGGCAGGGGACAGTAGTGGGAGGGTGGGGGTTTGGGGGTGGGGGGGGTGGGTGGGAAGGGGTGCGAGGGCTCCCCACCCTCCCACCCCCACCCCCCCCCACCCCCCCTTGCCTTCTGCAACCTCCCACCACCAACCCTTCCCCTTGGGGGTGGGGGGTGGGGGGGTGGGGG